GTTACTTTGATCCAGTCATCTTCTTTTTGCTGATCTTACTGTTGCCTGGTCTTCTTCAAGTTTGTTTAGGCAATATGCAAAGTCTTCGCTGACCCTGCCTTCTTCCAGTCCCATGTCTTTTTAATTTTTTTCGGTCAGTATATCGATGGCCTTTCGGATCTTGTGTTATCTTGTATTTTCACCATATGCAGCCAGCCTTTCGGTCGATTTCCAGTCGATTTCGTGCCCCGTTTGTGTAATGTGTTCCACTATTTCGGATTTTTCGGTATCCATGTTTCTGCAGTCTTTGGTGTTCCTTGATTTGTAGGCTGATTTTTCTTCCTGTTTCACCTATATACTTCTACTCACAGATATCACATTTGATCCGATAAACTCCTGAGCAATCAAGTTTGTCAGTCTTCTCGTGTTATGTCGGCAGACGGTCGTAATTGATGGCTCAGTTCTGATGAGGGCAGACAAATCCATTTCTGGTCGTGCTGATTCCTGATCTGATTTTGATAAAATCCGAGTTAAAATCTGTCCTTTACAAGCAGGCAATAAATTGTAACAGTGAGGGCGTAATACGAGGATATAGGAAATGTGAATAGCCCAGGGCATAATGAGAGATACCATAACTGTTTGGCACACGTTTGGTCAAAGGATCGGCTTCACTTGTCTCTTTGACGGATTGTACTATGATGGTAAATATGGCAAAACTCACTGACGATGTCGGCGAAACGTCTAGGAAATTATCATACATACAATGGACTCCAGACTATATGCGTTCCTCTAAGTCTTCCTACCAATATGACCAAGTTGCGAAAACAAGGTCAAACAGCTTCTATACAACGGAGACTGCGACCACACCATCTTAGTCTTAATATCTTCCATAATCAATATATTTGAAAATTCTCAATTTATCCTTATCATAAAAAAATATATTTAAAACTAAGTATATCATACAGTATAATAGCTTTTGTTTTTAAGTATTGTCAAAAATAAGCATTTAAAGAATATAATATATTTTATCAGAGTGAAGACAGCAGGTCACCGATTTTTGCTTATTAAATAAGACTCTTCATTAGCCATTTCATCAAATAATGAAGCTTTATGGATAAATTAATTTTCTTCAGAATTTTATAGTGCGAAGAGCCTATAGGCTATGCGAATAACAGTAATTGAACCAACCGTCAGATCCTTCGGGCGCATATTGATAGGCATCAGCTCAGTCCTCGCTTGCATGATGCTTTTGACGCGTCGGCGTTCAAAACAAGCCTCGTCTGGGTCTTCAGCTGGTCTTAAAGATTCCGTTTCATCTGGCCTAGACATGAGACAAGCTGGCCATCGCGCAGCGGCAAAATGCCTATTATGTATTCGAGGCGCCGAAGTAGGTGCAGAGCCAGCGACCGTTGAACCAGATTTTACATTAGCTATGATAGGATCATGAGAACCTCTAGGATACTCAGTACCAGGATCAGAGCCAAATGACTCATTCGAGCTGACTCTATCCTTGGAGGACCTCGAGTCCGAAGAGTATGAAGTAGAGCTGGCATGCTCAAGGCTGCGATGATGTCTTTAACAACAAAGGTGGAAAGCATATGATAGCACATAAAATGAAACTTAATGTTGGTCCGAATTAAATAAAATGTTTATCAGATTTGACCACTAACTCAGTTGTGCACGAAAAATATAAAAAAAGACATTAATTTGAAAGGTATTTTACTAACAAAATAATGTTAGTGCATCAAACACATCCTCACCCTAGTTAACCACGCATAAAATTCACTTTGGCGAGATTTGGTAGGTAGTTCGTTACTTTTCTTGCCGGTGCTGTTGCAAAATATTTCCTAATAATATTTAGTTGTTGCTCATGAGTAGGGTTTTGAGATTGCCAGTAAATGAGTTATCTTCACCCTATTTCGTTTAAGATGATGAAGGACTGGTAGTAGTAAACAACCCAACTAGATTGCAACGAGTTCCCTTGGGTCATATGGCAGATATAAAATTCAAAGAAGGCCAGGTTTTTTCCATATCACATTCTTTGGTGGGATTATTGATGAAGCAAACGTATTTTTGCTATAACAATCCACTACATTACTTATTTCTTATATATAAAAAGGGTTTCGAGAATAACAGTAAATTAGTTACATGAGATGTATGTGATATGGCAAAAAAACTGGCCTTCTTTAAAATTCATATCTGCCCTATTCTACTACTTCATCACCTTAAACAAAATAGGGTGAATACACTTCATATAACTGATTTACTGGTAGTCTCGAAACCCTGCTTATATACGAAAAATAAATTTATTTACTCT